ATTTAATAATAAAATAATTTATTTTTGGTTTAATAATATAAATTTTATAAAGATAATAATTAAGTATTCTGTTAGAATTCAATAATAATCCTAATTTTATTTTAAATTTTTTATATTTAAAATGAGATGTTTATCTTGTATTTGATTATATTTATCTGCAATTAGTTACACGAATTCATATATAGAGCTTTAATAAGTTGTAGTTATGCATAATCTACTTGCAATCTTGAGTTTTAAGTAATATTTATTATTAAACAATATTTTACCCATAAAAAATAGTTTTTAAGAATTTTTGTCAAATACTTTACAATATAGTATAGATATATGTTAAACTATAAGTTATAATACTTTAACATTTTATTATTAACCATGCATATATTAAATAAATAATAAAATAATTCAACAAAACAGTAATTTTAACAAGGTGGTTCATATTTGCCATGTCATGTTGCAATTGCATCATATCCTACTCAAGGGATTGTTATTCACTTGCAATTTTATTTAAGATCATCATATCTCATGTCCTTTTTGTCAGATTGTTATCTACTTGTAATTTTATATTTCCCCCCAATAAAATTAGATGGTGTGAATCAAATCTAAAAGTTTAATATAACAAACTTAAACCCGTTTTTATGGGCTTGATCATGTGTTCTTACTCTCCCATTTTAATTTGAATGAAACGTCTTATACTTCATAAGTTATGTAAAATTATTTCATCTTTTCTCTAACTTAAAATAAGATGTAAACCCATAACAATGTTTAAGAGAATAAATACTTTCATCAAATATTAGAGTATTAACATTTTCTATCCATCTCCAAACCCTATATTCTTCAATAAATAAATATACCGCTTGATATTTCTAAATCAAGATCCGAAACATATTATATATTTGAAAAACAGTTGGTACTCAGGAATTCCATCCCAAAGCCAGCCAAGTGGACCCTTGCCATTGTTCTTACCAAGTAAGACTCCCAGTACTTGTCATGTCCATCCAATAAGGTAACACGAAATTGATAAAAGTTTACTGGGTCAACTGACTCCCTAAGTCTCGTGGACTCAAATCAAGAAACCAACATAGAAAGTGCATGTGGAGGCTGCTTCCATCCAAATCTCATACTTTTCAAGAATCACAAAACCAAATTTCAAAAAAAAAAAAAAAAAAAAAGAGTTTCACTTCCCATTATCATCATTCATCATTCTACAAGCAAATTAACAGGCAAAATTGATTCATGAAACCCACCCCTTACAAAACAACATCACATATTTAACCCAAAAAACAAAAACGTTGAATGTTACGACTGCTTACGACTAAATTACTACGTGGGTACAATCTCCATGTTATGGGATGAAAATTGCAGGTAAAGGGTTACGAGCAATAGAATAAACTGGAACATAACACATGAAGTAAATTTACATACCCTATTTCTCAGTTTCTTTACGTCTTCTCTAGTCTCCATCTTTGAATTCAAAGCTTCCTTCTTTGCTGATGCCTCTATGTCCTTTTGACGTAAAATAAGTTTGATTTCATGCCAGTTCCTTTCGCTTGTCGTGATCAATACAACTCGTTCTACATCAACTTGGATTATTTTCTTCAACAGATCCTCAAGCTTCATGTTAACTTCTTCAGAACCCAAGGTGAATTCCAGTTCCGAAATCTTGGAATCATCTTTCCCAACTTCCTTCAATTTCTGCACTTCTGCCAAGTACAAACGGATCTCATAAGCAACTGCAATCAATCATTTGTTAATGGATGCAGATAAATCTGATCATTTTTAACATAGAAAACACGATGAACATTTGTCTTGGTAGCAGAAGTCAGGTGCAGAAGCCTACTGGTTCCAAGGTGCAAGATGCAGACAGTTAATTCAAACTAATAAAGCATGTTTCAGACTTTCAGCAACAATTTTATTTGAGATTTTACATATCAGGAATGTAAGCCTCGGAGGCGGTTTCGTTGGTTTTCCATTAACTTGTGTATGGATAAAGCTATCTGTGTGGATTAATTTGTCCGTATAGATTGAGAAGGTTTTTGTTTGGGAGGTTTTTTTTTATAGATGAAAGAAGCATGTTTTTTAATTGGGAGGGGAATGTACAGAAAAAACTTGGCTTTCTGCATAAAGCTCCCCTTAAAAGGTTACTGTACAAGCCACTTTCTATACCATTAAGCCACTACTAAACAGCCATGTATAGCAGACTGAATAAGTTGTGAATTCTATTAAGCTAATTAAGCTGCTAACAAACAGGCCCTCAGTCAAATATAGAAAGATCACGGGTAGAAATACTCGGTAAAATAATGGGATATCAAAAGCTATCCCATCCTAAACCTAACTGCTATATAAAGAAGCTGCCATTAGAGCTAAAAGAACAGGCTAAATAAATAAAGAAAAGAAACAAGAGACGAGCACTTGACTGAATAAACTTATAGAATGCAAATTTTTTGGAAATCAGAAACAATAGGATACAAAAAGCTAATGATTGAATTACCATCAGAGCTTAATAGCATACTTGAACGACATCCACATCATAAAAGCACCATATGTCCGAAGTTATTTGAAATGAATGAATATCAAAAAGCAAAATGATTCCAATATTGAAAAACCAAAAGCAGAGGCCAACAAGCTACCTCTAATAAGTTTCTCCTGAACAGAATCGAGTCCCGTGAGAGATTTTGCAACAGCATCATCCAGGTCCACCGACCCGTCATGTTTGTTTTCTTCCTTGACCTCCCAAGAGTTCTCAGCCTCTACCTCTTCTTGTGAAACATCTACAAATTCAGCATAATTTATGAATCCCGCTTCTTCATTTAAATGTTTATCATTTGTGAACCAGCCTCTCTGTTTACCTTTCGATGCTATAGAGTTAGTACCCTGCACAAAGACAAAGTTGGAGCTTCGAGAGTCAGATCCCATGCTCGAATAAGAGTTTTCCATCTCCATTTTGAATCCCCTAGCCTTCTTGCTGGTTCCAATCAGACCATTCCTCTGTTGATCACCAGGTACAGATGAAATGCCTGAATTCCTCCCATTTAAACTAATTATCTCATGCTTCTTTCTTGGAGCACTAGCTGCAGTCGAAGATCTGCTACTATGATCCTCACTGTTCTCTGAATCTTCCTTAGTATCAGAATCAGGTAAACCACCCAATCCAGAATCATCATAAAGGACATTACTAACTGGAGAATTACCGTTAACATTCACCATAGTATTTATCGATGGGATAGAATCATCACTCTCTGAAAAATCTCCATTTTTTCTACCATCTAAGTTACTACCTGTTTTCTTAACAAGTTCTCTAGGTTTCCTTCGCCATTTTTTCAATTCCTGCAACTTAATCACATCCTCTTTAGAAGACATCACAGTCTGGTAAGGTGACATCCCCATGGTTTATATTCTTACCACTCACATTTCCAAGATTTCCGAAGTCTATCTACACATTATCATCCATCAAATGTAGTGAAGAGCATTCACTTCCTAAATTCTACTGATTGAATGTAAACGAGAAACAAAAAAAAGCAAAAACGATCGAAATCCCTAGTCGAGAATTCAGATCAAGATCGATGTGAAACAACAATCATCTCCGTCTGTTGGAAAATGAATCAGGGAAAAGATGTTAACTTTTGTAAGGAAAATTAAATCTGAAAATTTCCAGTTGGGAATTGATTGGATTGGATTGGATTGAAGTGAACAGCAATGGCGTTATCTTTCAGTTCCAGAAGATGTAACTGAAAATTTAGGGGGGATTAAATAACTGTAAATAAGAAAAAAGAAGAAACTTCAACGTACCTTAGTTTCCATAAGAGAAGCGTAATCGGGGGGAAATGATGCTGAATTGATGGAATGGAAGAACTGGAACCCTAAATTTTGGAACGGATATGGAAGTTGAAGCCATTACCTTTGGGAAAAACGTATCGTTACAAATAATTATTGTAAAAATAAATTAATAAATATAAATATAAATATTCGAACGTGGAGGGTGGGCATAGCGCAGGTATAAGTAGTGGGCCAAATGTATCGACAATAACCGTCAAGCTGGAAGTCACGTGACGTGGGCCCTACTTACTCCTATACTTCTGCCACGTCATCGTCTGTTATGGAGTAAATTACGATTTTTATCCTTGTGGTTTTAAAAAAAATGTGATTCTTATCTCTATGTGTTTTAAAAATTACACGGTTTTTATTATTTATAATTTATTGTTTTTCGGTTCTTATGGGTTGTGATCATTTAGTGTTTTGACCCTTTTTATTTTAAGATTAAAATGAAAATAACAATAAATTGTAAATTAAAAAGGATGAAAATAGCAATTTTTAAACCCCATGGATGAAATTGAAATTATTAATAAACCACAATTTACTAATTTAGTAGTTTGCCCACACAATTTTGAGAAAGTGTAATTATTACACATTTTTTAATTAACAAAAGCTTGAGATAATAATTGATTCTTTGTTTGGCGAATCTTGATTGCATATGTACAAAAAATGTAGAGAAGTGAAACGGGAAATGGAAGTGGACTATGAAAGCTGCTTTAAGAAAGAATATTGTATGTATGGTGGTACATGTAGAAGTTGAATTGGACACAGGTTTTCCAACACTTGATTTATTTGAAATGAAAGAATGAGTGTTCACGGAACTGCAAATGGCTATGGGAAATGATATTGTTGCCAAAGGCCCTTTCAAAAAACCAAACTTAAAAGTATCTATAACAGATCGATATACTTGTAGTTGAAGAAATCGTTGATCCTGATGAAAAAGAAGAGAACGGACCACAAGAAAGAATGGTTTGACTAGCTTTAAAGACTTGGTTAAGAAAATGCAAGCCGCCACCCATTCAAGATAAGAAAACACCATTTCATCCTTAAAAAGTTGTTTAATATATTTGTTAGGCTTATCTTTCCGATACACAAAATAAAATACAAAATAAACAACGAATACAAGATAATTCCAATAACACCCTTTTTCTAAAACATGAACAATTGTTTCAAGACACCTATGTTTCGAATTAAAACCAAATTTTTCAAAATTCGACATGAATTCATAATTAATTAATTAATTTAAAAAACTTGTTCGTCTATAATTCAGTCAGTTTCAAGTTAGAAAAAATAATGTATGGTTTTTCTAGTGAAATAAAATATTCTAAAAAAAGATTAAAATTTACATAATACAATATTTTGAAAAATGTATTGAATTTGATTTGCTAATATTTTTACTAAAGATTTGGGTTTAAAACATAGGTTTAATTTAAACTAGCAAGGTGAGGTGAGTTCAAGTTGACTTGTGAAAACTATTTACATGCCAAAATGTGATTTTGAAGTATTTAATGTGTTTTACGTGATGTTTATCAAATGAATTGAGTATTTGACGAAGTTTATATATTTGGTAAATTTGGGTTAATAAATCTTATAAAATGCTTATATTCGGGGTTTTTTTTTGACTTTTTGATAAATAAAATCTCAAGAATGTGTTTTTCTAGTGATTTATCGTACAAATGAAGATAATTTGATATTAATGTATTTTGGTGTATTTGGCTTCATAAACCGTTTGGAAAATGCATGTTATTGTATTATGAGGAATTTTGAAAATATAAACATATTTCATTTAGAAAATGGTTTGTCCCAACCAACAACTGGGTTTTGAGTTAGTATTTGCATAAACGCTGGTTAAATACATTTTATTTCTTTTTTTGACTTATATTGTATAATCAATGGAGTTGTTGAGCTTTTGGGATTGGTTTTGACTCGGTTGACTCTTAAGGACATTTGTCCGATTCATTTTGCTCTATGTTGAGCTTTTGAAGTTTATATGTAATTATGACATATATTGGGAAAATACGTCTTTTCAGCTTATGTGATTACCTTGGCTTTATTTAAAGTAGTCAAGTGTTTTATGGGGCCTTATAACTTGGTTTTTAGCTAAATAAAATTTGGGACATTTGTCCGGTTTTAAAGGCCCAATGTGGAGCCTTTGACGTACGTTGCATTGACTGCATATTTCTTGATTATTACATGTCTTGAGTGCGATAATCATTCAATTGGTGTCATATAATTTTAGACCGTAATGCATTATATCCATAGGCATATAAGTTTGTCTTCTTATTAAGCGTGGAGTTTTCATGTCCACACTTAATGTGTTATTGACTAGTCCTCAAGTCATGAGTAGTGAGCTTGTGGTGGTATCATTTTAGGTCGTATTAGGAGTTATAGCCTGTGGTGGCACTCAATAGAGTCGTATACGGGGGTAGGCCTTGCAGTGGTGCTCATTGGAGTCGTATACAAACACTGGTGACTTTGTGGTGAGACTCATTTAAAGGTCGAGTAGACACTAGGGTCATTTTGGGAATCTTGTATTAGTGCTCAATGGAGCCGTATATGGGGATCCATGACCTGAGGTGAAACTCAAGAACGTTGATAAGTGGCTTAACTTTGTGTTCCTGCCATTTTCAATAGAATCCGGTCTCCACAGTCACTGAAAGGTATTGTTTTCGGGTACTTTACCCATGCTTTTGGTGTGTTGAATATATTGATTTATTAACATAACTGGTGTTTTGGAGTTTAAATCTTGCGTATGTTTTGGGTGAGTTTGGGTATTGGTTATTTGTCTAAAATGGATATTTGAATTGAAAATAATGATCTTTGTAAAGATATTCCTTTCTATGAATTGGGTTTAAATGATGAGTCCTTTTAAAGAACATGTTTGTTTTAAACCGTTTTACGATTATGATGAAAATTGCTTGAACTCATTAGGCGTTAAGCGTAACCTTTTTATTTGTCGGCATGTGCATCAGGTCCTCATTGGGGTTTGGTACTAGCGAACTGTGAAGAGTTGAATGCTAGATAAATGCACGTGAAGGGATTTAGTTATTCGTTGACGTCTCCCGCTTTTAGAGATAGCGACCATTATTGCGTTTTAGTAACAACCGACTTTGACTTAGTCTTTATGTAAGACTTGATTTATCAATTGTTGATGTTAAATCTAAATTTGATATTATAGTTAAATTAAGTATTGATTTATAGTAAGAGATTTATCCTTTATTTGATGTATTTCCAAATTTTTTAATTTAGTCATTCTTTCCAGAACTGAGGGTGTCACATTATCACTCTTCAAAATTTATTTTCTTATCTGTTAGTGTAAGGAAATACTGTAAGTCAAAGCTAAAATGATATTGAATCATGAATTATATTTGAATGAGTAAACAATAGATACAGACATCTTGATTCTTGTGTTATCAATGTAACCAAATAGGTTGAAAGTTAAAACAAAAAGCCATATATGTGCAGTTTATGTTGTGGAATATCGTGCTAGCATCTCATCATAAAACAAAGGGTTTTAGGTTTGATTCCATTTGGATGCCACATTCATTTGTTAAAGATAACACCTATGGATTTGACCTAACAAAGATACGAGTTATGAGCCGTTAAGAGTTGGTGAATACTTATGAAAGAAAAGATGCGAGTAGTAATTATCACGGGAGTTGGAAACCCATTGTCAACAAAGTGATTTTCGGTAATGAAAAGACGTAATGTTTTTAGTTTCAAAGAGATTGTATTCTTTTCTTTTCTTGATATGTATATATAAATCAACATTCAGTTAGTTGAGAAGGAAAGTAGATGGTCAGACAAAATAGGAATGAAAGAAGAAATACCAAAAACAAGTAGTAAATGAAAAGGTCCAGAGGAGCATAATCATATCATTAAAGAAAGAACATGCACATTACTACCAGAACATGGCTGCCTCTTATTCATTTCAAAGGCCCCCCTCTCTATCAACTTGTCTATAAACCTTTTTTATATAGAAAGAGAGAACACGCACTAACTATGCAAATAAAATAAGTTTGATTAAACTAGTTTAATTTAAGGGGGGTAAATTGAATGATGAGGGGATGGGGGTCAGGGGTGTGGCGCTTATATTGGGGGATGTATTCAATGAAAGAGGGAAGTCTTATGGGCACAAATAGATGGTTCAGAGTTCCATGGCCAAATAGTGACTGTCATGTTATTGTTAGATATATAAGGAGAGTATATTTACAAGATTGCCCTTTGCTCAACCAAGTATTATATTATGAGTTAATGTTTTAATAGTAAGTTTTATGTGTATTTATTTAAAAGATTCTTCAAAAAATATATATTAGATTATAATCATATGTTTTGGTAGATTTTGAATACTAAACAGCACAATATAAAACAAAAGAAAGGCCTAAACACAAGAAAATTATATTAATTCTGCATTCATTATTTTACATGGATTGTAATTGTAGACACTCTGCACCTTCTTTTTATGCCACTTTGTATCTTTATTTTATGCTTAAAACCCCTTTTTGGATCTACACCCACAAACTCAACTGCTCCATGTTGATATATATATATATATATATATATATATAGAGAGAGAGAGAGAGAGAGAGAGAGAGAGAGAGATCTGTGTTATTGTTAAGGTGATGTTGTGCTCCAATGATCTCAACAGATACTGATATGTGATGTCAAAAAAGTGTTGATTTCTTGAGGTCAGTTAACAGTGAAAAGCATAATGTGTTGTACTTCTGACTCATGAAGCCCCACAAATGATGCTTTCTTCTTCATGCTCATCATGTCTGCTGAATCAGTCTTCAATCACACAAAACAGCTTTACATCATTTCTTTTGAACACAGACGCTAGAATCCAAGTTTCTTCCTTGATTCCAACTTCTGGTCAATAGTTGTATCTCAACCTATTTTCTTGAATGTGATTTATCGAAACTGTTCTTTGAACATGAATGGAGAATCATCATCATCATCATCATCATCTAACAAGATTTCTAAAGGGATTTCAGCCATTGATGCTACTGTTAACCTCACCATCAAGATACCAAATTTGGCATATAACTCCAGAAAAGATTTCTTGACCACCATTGTTCCTGCTACTTCATCATCATCATATAACTCTCCATCATCTTCAGCCTTTGTTTCAGCTCTCCAGTCACCTTACATATCTCCCAGAGCCACCGGAGACGACTCAAATCATCCTCAAGAAAACCCAAGAATCACTCATCCATCCACCGCCACCGCCACCACCACCACCACACCCAGTACATTTACTCAACCTTCCACTCCGGTATCCTATTCTGGGTCTCACTCCGACGACATTCCGAGCACTTCCTACACTCCCCCATCGGAAAGATACGATTTTTCCGATGCCACAAACCTCAAGATTTCGGATAATACTACTATTAACACAACTGCACCTCGTATTTCCTTCTCATTTCCAGTTCCTCGGATCTCTTTGGCAAAAGGGTCTGTCTCGCCGGCTTCTAGTGCCAAACTGAGGAGCTGTGATGTTTACATAGGATATCACGGTCAAAACCCGAACTTGACGCGATTCTGCAAATGGGTCAAATCGGAGCTTGAGCTTCAAGGGATTGCTTGCTTTGTTGCAGACAGAGCCAAATATTCAGATTCTCAGAGCCATGAGATTGCTGACAGGGTAATTTGTTCAGTCACATTTGGGGTTGTGGTTGTCACCAGGTTTAGCCTTTTGAATTATCTCACTTCTGAAGAAATCAGATTTTTTGCTCAAAAGAAGAATCTGATCCCAATTTTCTTCGATACCGATCTTGATGAGATCACCAATCTTGTTGCTCGGACTTCAGATTGCAAAGAGGCGATTGACGGGTTGATGAAATCCAATGAGTTTAAGCTGGAAGCAAATGAGGGTAATTGGAGAAGCTGTGTAGCTAGATCAGCTTGGATTTTAAGGGGAAAGCTTGGTAGGAAGAGCTATGTCGATAAAGAAATCGAAAACTTGGATGAAATGCCGTTTCCCAAGAACAGATTTTTCGTTGGTAGAGAAAAGGAGCTTGCAGAGATCGAAAGTGTGTTCTTTGGGTGTGGAAATTTTGGAGAAAAAGAAAGCTCCCTGGTGGTCATCAATGGCGGAACACCAGGAACTTCTGAAGGACTTGCAGATGAGGAAAGCGAAGGTGAAGGAAACAGAAATGTAGAATCTTGGATTGAACCAGTGATTGGGAGAAATTCATTGAAGAGGCCTAAATACAAGAAATCGAAGAGTGGGAAATACAAGAGGTTTGGAAGCAGCTTGGTGTGCATCAATGGCGGATCTGGAATGGGGAAGACAGAGCTCGCATTGGAATTTGCTCACAGGTATTCACAGAGATACAAGATGGTTATTTGGGTAGGTGGAGAATCCCAACATTTAAGGCAGAATCTATTGAATCTGTCTGTAAGTTTGGGGTTAGATGTCAGTGCAGATGCTGAGAAAGAAAGAGGGAGGATCAGGAGTTTCGATGAGCAGGAAACTGAAGCTTTTCGGAGAGTAAAACGAGAGTTGTTTCGCGATATGCCTTATCTGTTAATCATCGATAATCTTGAAACAGAGAAAGAATGGTGGGAAGGGAAAGATTTAAGCGATCTGATACCAAGAAATACTGGAGCTTCACATGTGATTATCACGACAAGGCTTCCAAAAGTAATGAACTTTGAACCAATGCAACTTCAACCATTGTCGTTATCGGATGCAATGCTGTTGATGAGAGGGAGACGGAGGAAAGAATACCCATCTCAAGAGGTCGAAATTCTAGGAAAATTCCATCAGAAATTGGGGAGGTTAAGTTTCGGGTTATGGGTGATTGGTTGTCTGCTATCTGAACTCACTATATCGCCCTCGGCTCTCTTTCAATCGATCAACGAGATCCTTTTAGACGAGGCTTCATCTCATTTAGACGAACCATTTTGGGGAAACAACCGGTTTATGCTCAAAGTTTTGATCTTTTGCATTACGATTCTGCACGAAGCCAATGGAACTAAGAATCATCTTGCGTTCAAGATGCTTCTTGCGGGATCTTGGTTCGCCCCATCGCCCATTTCTGCAAATTTACTAGCTGCTGCAGCTACCCACATGAACCCATCCAGAAACAGAATCAAGAAATGGGCCAAGTGTATGAATTCGAGTTTCTTTTGTTGTTCGAGTTTCATAAACAGCCAGAAATGGAAAAGCGAAGAGGATTCGGCCATTGTTTTAGTAAAGCTAGGCCTGGCTAAAAGAAGCAACAGATCGCCCGGATGTTGGATCCTGATTCACCCGATAACTCAGAATTTCGCGAAAAGAAAAGGGGGTTTAGTGGCGGCCAAAGCAACCATCCAAGCCATAAGAAAGATCGGAAACCCGATGTTGAACTCAGACCATCTTTGGGCTTCGGTTTTCTTAGTATTTGGATTCAAATCCACACCACCATTTGTGCAACTAAAAGCAGTCGAAATGGTTCAATTCATCAAAAAGACAGCTCTCCCTTTAGCGATTGGAGCATTCACAACATTCTCGAGATGCAACTCGGCATTGGAGCTACTGAAAGTGTGCGCAAATGTTCTTGAAGAAGTGGAGAAATCATTTGTGTCACAGATAGAGGATTGGAAGAAGAAGCAGCAGCAGAGAATGGATGAGTACGTATGGCAAGATGTGACGCTGTTGAAGGCTATATTGCTAGAGACGAGAGCTAGATTGTTAATGAGAGGCGGGCATTTTGATTACGCAGAAGAGCTTTGCAGGAGGTGTATCAGCATCAGGACGGTGATGCTTGGTCATAATCATGCTCAAACTTTGGCGGCTCAAGAAACGTTGTCTAAATTAGTTAGAATGAGGAGTAAGATATGAATCTCATCTGTACATTCATCAACTTTATTACTAGAGATTTCTGTATTTTTCATCTTAATCCTTACACATTTCATCCTAAAAAACCCTGGTGTGCTTAGAAATGAATATTGATTCCAACACATTCCCAATTACATTTTTTTATTTTTTTATAATCATAATACTTTTTTTATAATTATATCTAATTGAAAACTAAAATTAAGTTTGCAAAACATACCCCTAAAGCATTCTCTTTTTATGAAATTTTAATTTAAACTAGACTGAATTACGAATTTGGTCCTTGAACCTCATTTATTACAGATTAAGACTCGTCGTATGTCATTTTTTAACGAATTGATCATTTCCCTCACGGCCATCCAGCTCCTCTATCAACTTTGACGGCACTTTCGTATGTTTCCATTTTTTGTCTTTACTTGAGAGACCAATTTTGTAAAGCTCACACAAACCACAAGAACCAAATTCATAATTAAGACTAAAGAATAAAAAAAATTAAAGGCTTATACTTTGAGTTTATTAAATTAATTAATTATTATATATATATATATATATATTAATTATTAAACTTTAAGTTTAATTTTAATAGACAATATATTTTCTTCCAAAAAATATATATTACGTAACACACACACACACACATATATATCATGAGATTCAAAAGGAAATGATATATATCAATTATTAGATTAACTGATTCAACAAATATGATTAAATAGACGTTTATAACAATATTTTTAAAATAAAAAAACTTTTGTCCCACCTATTTTGTATTCGAAAAAAGACAAATATAAACAAAAATCAAGCGAAATAAATTACACCAAAAAACAATCACATTTCTCATTAATTTGACATCCATATTGATATATATTTTTTTATCCGGTTTTTTTCGTGGTTTTTCGGTGTTTCATTTATTTTGTGTTGAGAGAGAGAGAGAGAGTGAGTTAAGTTAAGAGGAAAACGCTAAATAAATAAATAACTGGAATAAAAAAATAAATCAGTGTAGTGTAATTTATTTCGCTCGATTTTTGTTTAGATTTCATTTTTTTCAAATAACAATAGAGATGGTGAGATTTTTCTTAATTTAAAAATATTTACAAATGTCCACTTAAGTACACTCGTTGAATCAGTTAATCTAATTATCGATGGAGGTGGTTTCTTCTGAACGGTTGAACCTCACTAGGTATAACTATGTGTGTGACGTTTGAACGTATATGCATATATGCATACATAAAACATATTATTTTAAAAATATATATTATATATTAAAATATGATAATTAATTAATTTAATAAACTCAAAGGATAAAAAGTTATTATTTTTACTTTTTAGACTTAATTATGGATTATGTGGTTTGTGTGAGCTTTACGAAATTGGTCCCTCGAATAAAGACTAAAAAGAAAAAAAGACGAACAATGTCTTCAAGGTTAACGGAGAAACAAACTATATGACCGTTAGAGGAAGGGACCAATTTGTTATAAAAACACAACATACGACAAGTCCTAATCAATAATAAATAAGGTTTAGAGACGTTTTCATAAAAACCATCAAACCATATGGACCAAATCCATAATTTAGTGTTTAAATTAAATTGATGGTGAATTTACTCTTTAATTTTGTGACTTTTTATACAAGCCTATATATTATATATCTTTTTAAGCAATGTATGTAATAAACATTTTAATCAATTACATATATACAACTCCCCACCTACACCAAATTAAAAACTTGTATAAAAATGCATAATCCCCGTTCTTTATAATAACTTTAAAAAAAAAAAACAAAATGTCAATTCACATCAAGTTTAATCGTAAGAACCAAAATTTTTGTACAAAAATTCAAATGACTTGGGGTGCTTATAAAAAAAACTCTCTACAATGGTAGTTTTCTTACAAGACACTATATTTTTTGCTTATAAAAACCTCGATAAGAGATGCTAAATAAAACCCGTCTTCATTACACGTGATATTATAAATTACAAGTTCAAATTTAATAAAACTTGTTATTTCTTTTTTGCTAAACAAACGTAGACATATACCACTTAGATGCTGCAAAAGTCCCCTTTTCTATCATATAGTTTTTACGATTAATATTTATTTTATATCCATTATTTTACATTTAATTCTCTGTGATAACATTCTAATGAAATCCTTTTAATTAATTATAAAGGGATATATATATTCATGTTTGCATGCATCACATGGTGTTGCATTAATGGATTCCTTCATAGCTTTAAAAGTAAGGTTGGCCGATCTCTTTGCATGGAAACCTAAGAAACTAGTCATCATACAAAATTAATTAAGGAACAAAACCATGTAAACATTGAAATTAAAACTCATCTGTAAACCTTAACTAAACTCCATTCATCTTCCAGTTCGATCTTCATGATTCTTAGCTAGTACGAGGATAGCATGCAGTAGAAGAAGAACTCATCTGGGATATGGTGCGTTTGAAGCTCCAAAGCTACCATGGTGGAAAGCCGATGAAACACCGCCGTCAAATAGATGATGGTTTCTTCTCATGCGTTCTTGAAGCATAATACGAGCATCAGCTTCGTTTTCAGATGAATCATCGATTACAATGATCTCCTTGGTGGCTTTCCAGGGGGATTTCTCTTCGTTATTATCAACATCAAGTCTGTTACAGTCTGTAGTAGGTGCCGTAATGAGCCTCAAATCAGCAAGATTTCTTGGTGGGTGGACATTAAAATGTCGAGATTTGGAGTCATTTTGATTATGGTTAAAGATTACAGGTTTCTGATCAGAAAGATAGCCATGGAAGAAAGAAGTGTGGTCGTTGTTTTGAATGTTATGCAGCTGTTGATGACCAAAAGGATTCGAGCAAAATGGAGTTCTAAGTTGATGATCGTCATCTGTCTTCACCACAGTCAAGTTTTTCCCCATAAGCCTGAGAACAGGTGTTGTAGGTCTAACAACAGATTCAAAATCGCGGTAAAATGGTAACTTGACCGAAGGATCAGCAAGCGGTTTAACAGTTTCAGGTGGTAGTGGTGATGGTAACTCCGGGTGGTTGATGATCAGGGAAAACAACTCGGGTCTCTTGTTGGACTCAAAAGCTCCTTCTGTTAGTATAGCTGATTCTTGGTGATATGAAGGAACATTCTTAGAGAGCACACCCTCCTTTCTAGAGCAAACACAAGGCTGCTCATGATTTTGGAAGCCAGATGGAGTGAGACCCTTTTCTTTGAAGATCGCATCAACTGATCTCGAGTTACTGGCATTCACAGAAGAAGATTTCTGATCTACAACATCAATTACAACATTTGTGAAGCTTAGGTTGGTATCTCGAAGGGAAGCAAATCCTACAGATAACTTGTCATCAGATCTTGCCAAACTGGAACTTGAGACTGTTGAAATGGGAGAATCCAACATATGATCATGATGATACTGTTCTTCACTTGACTGAAACCTACTTGTGGTTGTAAGTGATGAATTGCCTTGAAGTTCTTCAGAAACCATATCTCCACCAGGGCTAGGAGGTAGGAAGGATCCTGGTGGTCCAGGAATTGGAATTGGATCGATCTCGTGAAAGTAATTACCTTCCTTTTCGATATCATCCATGCAGTCTTCAGCATTATGCTCAATCATAATCTTATCGATGTCAAACTTGTTATCTACTCGACTTACCATCTTTGAAAATTGATCATCAAATGAGTTCCTCAAACCCATGAAACTTCTTTCCTGAACATCAGAATGAGATGGGATTTCATCAGCGGTAGCAGATTCCACATCAAGTAGAGGATCCACGAACGCAATCTCAAGTTCTTGGGAAGAATACCCATTTGCAGTAATCTTGGAAGTAACGGATTTCTTCCTCTTGGCTTCAAGAACATTAACAATCTCAAAAGACAAATTCTCGCTCGTGTCCTCTTCTATTCTTGATTTCTGTTTCGAAGAATCTTGAGAAGGTTCCATGACCGCATTTTCTTTTGATAAGCAATGTGAAAATTTCCTTTTCGGATTAAATTTGGATCCTGCATTGCATTCTTGGCTTGTTGACGATGGATTATCTTGCAACGATGAGAACTTGCCACCCTTTGATCTAATACCCAGAGGATCCTCATAACTGTCCTGCAAAGGGAAGCCTTCTTTTGGCTTTGTCAACATTGTAGACCTCCTTTTCTTTGTAAGATGAGTTCGTTTAGAACACGCCAACGGTGGCCTTGTAATCGCCAAATCTTCCATTTGCTTATTTTCTCGAGCTTTCATGGGTTTATCACATCTTTCTTCAATGGCAACATCTTCTTCTTGGCCACCTATCGCCTGTTTGTGAACGATCTAAAAAGTCATACTTCTATTAATTGTTTCTATTTCTATTAAAAATCTAAAGATCCTACAATCAGCATCAAACAGAAAAAATAAACTTTAACCATGTATTAGAAGAGCTCAATAAGAATCTAACCTCAGAAACAGGATGATGAGGCTTTAAAGAGCAGAACTTTTTGCTGTTCGGGCTAAGTTTAAACATTTTGTCGCGATTTTTCTGCCTGTAAGCTTTCTTTTTCTTCTTCTCCGCGGTAATTTTACTCCCTTTTCCTCCTTTTTGTAACTTTCGAGCTTCGTGATCATCTATAGTACCAACTTTTGGCATTGACAAGATACGAACTTTTGTGCCGTTTGTGTCAATATAGACGGTGCCATCATGACCAGTAGCCTCAGGAACAAACCTTGATTCTTTTTTCTTTTCTTCTGCTTGAAACTCGAGTTCTTGATCTGGGAAATTCGAATTAGTAGCCCAACTTGTACCATTTCTTCTATCAAGCTCTTCCACAGTACAACATGGAGCAGTTTTATATATATCCACCATTAACCTTGTCTTCCTAGGTTTGATCCTATGTTTAACGATTATCTTGGGATTTGTAGTCCATTTCATACTTGATTCCTCAGATAAACAGCGATCAATGTGAGCGTTTAAGGTGGTGTTTGAAGAGGATGAGAAAGTCTTGCAAACTGGGCAAACTTTAGCAGCCAGCATGGTCTCTGAGACTATGAAATTGTTCGGTGTGACCTCTTGGTCAACTCGTTCAACACCAGAGTTTAATTTCATAAAGAACTTGTACTTCTTAACCGCAGTTTGGTTAGTGGTGTTCGAAGTCTTCTCAGATGAAGCAGGGTGGGATTTCTTTGATTTTGTGTGAGCCAAGTCTTTTTCAAGATGACATTGAGGTTCAATACTAAATTTTCCCTCAGAACTGCTTAAGATTTCTTCATCGGGTAAACGATTTTCAACAGCACATCTGCTACCAGATTGATTAGGATTACTGATGAGTAGATCAAGAGGTTGGAAAGGTGGCAATAAATTCTTCACACCATATTGCAAGCAAAGTTGCAAAATTTCTTGAGAAAAAGGCCAATTAGAGGCAATATCCTTGCATCGCGAACCGAAAACATAATCTCTGCAACACAATCAAACCATAATCATCAGGGGCATAAAACAATCACCTTATATCATATGCAGACAACAAGAAGCAAAACCCATGAAACCCAGAACAAGATTTACAAAGATCGGTGATAAAATCATATCTATAAAGATGTAGGATCAAGAAAAGGGAAAACAAGAAATTGAGAGGTGGATATAAGGAGGAAAATGAAGAACATGGATTGGGCAAAACTGTCAAACAAAAAGAGCCATGTTGGTAAGAATAGAATCAAAGGCCAGAACTGAGAACAAATTGATCACTTTTCATGAAATCCAAGCCAAGTACTTACTCCAAGTGGTCAAAGAGAGCCTGAATCACAAAAATCACCCGTTAACAGTGCTGTCTTACAGTGGATCTGATACAGTAAAAATATGTCTTGAAATAAATTACAGTTATAAAAGTGAAGTAACTGTGATAAGATCAATTTGTTCTTCACCTTATAGAGAAATTGGGAAGCGGGTTTTTGGTGTCATCAAGAATGGAATCCTTAGGCTTCAGCAGATCTATGTTAGAAACAGAAGCTGGAGCTTTCTCACCATTGTTGATCTTGAGTTCATGAGAAACTTCTTTTTGTTGATGATGATTTTGATGATCAGATGATGAAGGATCTGGTGGTGGATGATCATCAATGGATATCATCTGCTACAGATTATATTCTGTCTTCTTGTGCTGCCTTTATAACAGTCCCAATAAACTCTCTTCAGCCCCTCTCTTTCTAGAACTTCAAATTAAGCATTCCAATTATCCCACTAAAAGCATGCTTAGTGAGAGAGATGACTCCAAGTTAGAGCAACTACTTTAGCCTGCAAAATATGTGAAGATCATGAAAAGGAATAGAGATCAGAGTGGGTTTCTCAATCAAAGAGCCAAAAGTACTAGTAGTAGATTCTAGACCTCTCTCGATAAGACCATATTTTATGTGATCTTGAAGCATCACAGAACTGTTTTTATTTATAATTTTTTTATGTAAATCTGATTGAACAAGGAAAGAACCAGAATAGTTGGGAAAGATCAACATCCACAAGTAATTAAAGATTTGAACTTAAAGGTGAAAAAGAACATCAAGAACTGTTATTTTATGTGGATGTTACGGTTTTTATGCAGATAAAGTAGGCAACCAAATTTAAAAAAATGAATCTTGATAATTAACCAGAACCCATTAGCCTTAACATCATCCCAGAATAAAACAGATGGAATTCAAAGACTTGAATCAAGATGGGGGTTTTAAAGATTTGAACTTTTTCTCAAGAATCATTCATGTTGTGATTATGCAGAAGATAAAGTCAAGATCCCCACACCATGACTTTGTTTGAATGTGAAAACAGGAAGTTTAGAGGAAATTTTAGAGCCAGATTGCTGGATCTTTGGGTCATGTTAGTGAACAGTAGAAGACAACAATTTAAAATCACCAAAAAGCAAGCAGCATGTTGATGATAATTGAAAGATCAACTAGTTTCAAAGCAGAAACCTGAAAGAATTCATGGTGAAGAGATCATAAAATCATGAATACAAAAGCTTTCAACTTGGACTCAAGTTTCACTCAAAGACCCATTTTTCATTTTTCTTTTTTCTTTTTCGAAACAAGAATTTATTTCACATACACAAAAGGATGAAATCTGGAATTACCTCCTAGCAGAAATAAATTGTGGAGAGAGAATCTTTGAAGAGAAGTGCAGGGAGCAAGGATTTAGCAGAAGAGAACAATTAAAAGCAACGTAGAAAGAAACTCCAAGAAAGTATGATGATTCATTCAAACCTATGGAAGCTTTTTTGGATAAGAAGGGGAGAGAGGATAAGGGAGAAAGAAGAAGATCGATTTGATGATGGTGGAGTAGAAGGAAACAGCAGCACATCAAAAGGAGGATTCATCTGTGCTTCAAAAAGCAAGTTTCCACCACTGATTCATCATTCATATGTGAATACATGTGTTCTTGTTTCAGAGAGAGATTGTGTTTGTGAGAGAGAGAGAGAGAGAGAGAGAGAGAGAGAGAGAGGGGTGTTATGGGGAGTCTAGAAAGCTGTCTAATCTTATACCTGCCCTACAACGCATTATTTTCTTTCTTTATTTATTGGTGATTTTGATCATGGATGGTGAGAAATCCCACTTCTGCCCTTTTTTCCGTACCGATTTACAGGTCACATCTCTCCACAGGTTATTATCGTAAATTTCTTTATAGCTGCTCCAAATTTCTTTTAACTAAATAGTCAACAAATCGAAGTTCAATGCTGTAAGGTATTTTTCTTTATGGTTTTTGATATTTTTTGGCATATCGAGACCAAAAGTGGGTCCACCACGAAAACAAATTGAAACGCCATAATGACATGCGTCTATGCACAAAAATAAGCCAAAGTCACAATTTACAATGCAGTAAAAAAAAGTGCATTGTAACTTCTGGATTGTTTTGTGAAAAAAGGCATGATAATAACCCAACTCTCGACTCATTGCTACATTGACACTTATCTCTACTGAATCGGGATGTCTTTAAATTTGATGGACATGTTTATAAATTTTGTCACTGTTACAATCAAACGGTATATGCCAATGTTAATGTAGAAGGGAAATTATTGATAAATAAGAATAAGTTTCATTAAAATGATGGAACTTCAACCAAATAAAAAATAATCATATTTAGGATATGTGTCGAGTTATAATCATCTGTAAAATACATTATAAATATTTATTAATAATAACGACCACAAAAAACAAATGATAGAATTAATTTCATGGCGATTTTTTACGTTAAGAAAATATCTAAATTATGTATTATTTGTGTTAGAATATTATATTTTAAGCATAAATTGAAGAGAAAAATAAGATGCCTCAAAACTGAAATCTTTTGTCCTCTAATAAAATATTGCATAGGATGGGTTTGATTTTTATGAGGGATATAAAAGTATTTATTATGTATCAGGTATATACGTGTTTCTTTCAGATCATTTGAATTTTTTATTTTAACAAGTTTTTTCCACCATACAACCGCTGTTGTTTTAGAATTAGATTATGCAACATTTGGTATATATATATATATATATATATATATATATATATATATATATGTATATAATACAAGTATTGTTTCACTTCCACATGAACGAAGTGATGAGAGTTCTCAGAACCCTTTTTTTCCCTTCACAAAAACTGCTCTTTAAAAGGATGAACAATGAATGGTTTTATAATTTCTAAATCACATCAACACACCCACATGACAAAGATGATATAATAAACCTAAAACTATAGTCCACCATTTCTTCTTCATAAAAACCAACCAATTACTTAACTTTCAACTCTACCCAGACAAACAAAAATTCCATTAACTGTTTGTTTTCAGATGAAGGCCGTACGTCCTCCCCTCCGACTATGCCTGTCAAATGCCACGTTGATTTTATCAACTAGATCGTTCATCGTGCTGCAACACACACAAACATACATATCATGTCACCAATAATTCCCATCAAATAATCCATCTTACAGTTTAAAGCTACAGATATCAGCATGTCCATCCACATGATTCCCAAAAACATTCATTTATTACCAATTCTTATTCAGTCAAATCAAGTTATTGAAAACACAAGAGTTCGCACATAAGTGTGAAGCATACCTTGAGCAATCGGTGAACATGGCCAGATAACTAATCAATAGCGTGTCATTGTATTCCTACAAAACAAGTAGCAGAATGACGCATTCATCAGACAAAAACGTATAAATGTCAAAATAATTATGTGACATACCCAAAGTTTCAAACCACATAACCTCACAAGCTTGAAATGAAATTAAATTTATAAAAGCTCTCACCATTAAGAAGTCATCCTGAAATTTCTCCGACTCTATAGCAGGTAATCTCCTCAAGAGACTAGATACCTGTCTCAGCAATGAATTTTCATAAGGAATTTCACCTGCATAAGAGATTAAAATATTCTTAGCGTCTTTTTTTTCCAAGCCCAAGTGAAACAAAGTTTCCCACCAAAATGGAGAATTAACAAATGGTACATAGTGCCATAGGCTTGGGCTCGAAAGCAAGAAGCAACAGCTTTCGCGCTTGTTGGAGCTAGAGCAGAAAGAAGTTCGAATCATTTAGCTCTATAAAGCCCTGCCCGGTGGGGTTTTTCTACTACTTGGCATTAAGAGAAGCTGGGTAGCTCCGTAATCTGTCAAGGAGGTGGCTTTCGCCTATAAGGACAGTTGGAGAGCTCCTAATGCATGCACAATTATCGGGCATCGCACATTTCAGGCCTACCTCCTCTCTTTCCGATCTCATTCAGATAATAAGCCAGTCCGGTTTATTAGATAGTGAGTGGGTCTGATTGTTTCTTGAATGTGGAATCGTTTTAGATCGTATYCAAGTGAAAGGTTATCCCAAGTGGATGCTAAACCCCGTCGCTCGTCTTATGGAGACGTGTGTGCCAGGGGAATGGAGGGCAGTGGGTTGGACTATTAATAGAGCAGTAGCTTATCGAACACAATTACTGACATAAGCAAAGGGAAACAGTTTCCCAACTAATACAAATAAAAGATGCAATACCAACTTCAAAAATATATTTTAAAATTCTTTATGATCTCACTATGCCCCCATTTTGTACATGGATGCATGATTTAGAACAAGAAAGCTACCTTTTTGCATAGCATTAAGATAGTGATGAAGCACTCTAATTCTGCTATTAAGCATCTTGATAGCACTATGTATGCCCGTCAAGTGAGCCGCCACTACAGAATATAGATAAAATGATTAATAGTTTTGACTGAAAATGCCTAAGATATAGAACATAATTCCAACCATGACCGGAAGAACCTCTGGACTCACATTGAGTAGCAGCTGAACCTCCATCAGATGGTTTAAGGTGCGCAACATGGTCAACAGATATTCTTTCGGCTTCTACTGTCTGGAGCAATGAAGGAAAATATTTGGAGAACCATTAATCCATGTATAATTCAAAGAGGTAAAATAAAAAAAAACAAGCATTTATGCCGAACCTCTATAGTGTAGCTTGAGCGTACAAAAATAAGTTGCGGAATCCCATCAATGACGTGCAACTCTTGAGTTGGCATAATTCCATATCAGAATAAGATCAAGCATCAGTGTAAATTCTAAAGTGATATGCATAAAAGTGTTACTCATGACATGTTAGACATTTAGTAACTTAAGTGATAAACACGCAATTGAACTCATTTTTTAATCAAATATCTTGCATTTTCATTATGTTTTAATAACTAGTGGACTCCCGTTGATCTTGGTTGTGATTGATAATTTATGGATGTCAAAAGAATGGTTTTTAAATACAAGTAGAGCATATATTTCAAAGATCTATAAGGCTGGGCATACTTCACAAACACACCATGTGGTGAACATAGAAATCAAATTAGGTTTAAAAATAACTCACGTCTTATATCCTTTTATCTTAGGTTTTATTATTTTTTATTTCTCTTTGGTTGGCGCAGTAAGCAACAGCAGCAAACAATTTTAATCGCAGCCCAAAAAAGGAGAAAAGTGAGAGAAGCAAGTCCAGATCCAACGTTCATGTAGCCCAGTCCCCATTCGGTTTCTTATCCGGGAGATTTTCTCCGGCGGCTTGAGCCGCACCTGTTCCCGCTTTACCCACTGTTTCGGGACCAAATCTTTCACCTTGCGACTTCTCCGGTGAGTCTACCCGCTTCCAACCCGCGTTAGTCACTGTTTTCGACCCTGATTTCCATCCGGGCAAGTTTTCAAGAGGGTCTAGCTGCTTCCATAGTCGCCAGCAACCCCTGTGTGTGCGCTTTAAGTGGATGTCGACGGTTTGTTGGGGGGGTTATAAATATCGATTGTTAACTGCTGTCATGGGGGGAATCCATCGATTTTCAAGTGAGAAACACAAATCCGAATTTGAGATTCTATGAGACATTGGAGTCGATTTTTGGAGATTCTTGATTAGAGTTCTTCATTGTTCCTCATTTCAACCATTTGTAAGTTCAATTTCTGTTTCAAAATAGGATTATGAGTGGCTAAGTTTCTATTTCTAGTGATGCGATTATAGCTAATTTGCTTTGAATCTTGTTGAGACTTTTATGATTGAATTTCAATTGAATTTTATTTATGCAATCCTTGTTCAAAAGTGTTCTTCATTTTTGGGTTTTGGTTTTGAGAAGGATCCCTTGAATCCTATAGCCTAAATATGAATTGCTAGTGTGATTACGAACCCGTAATTGTTCTTAATTTCAATTTGGTAGCAAGTAATGCATCAATAGACCTCCAAATCAATGGATTTGCATGATTGTGTAATCTAGTGGAAGATACAAACGTTGGCAAGCACAAGACTAGATAACGACTTTATGAAGGCAGGTTGCAGGCCTTAAAGCCATGACAGGTTAAAGACTAGTGTGCCTTAAATGGTATCAAGAAGCAACAATGAACCATGTCAGATGGTGGCAGAAGGGTTGTCAAAGCTCTAGAAGGTATGAATAAGGTTAATACACGAGTATACATGCCACAATGACGATGATAATGAGGTCTTCAGGTGGCAGCACTGATGAAATCGCTTTCAAAGCGATAATAGCCCGAAAGGCAATATGAGTTGGCATATTGTAGATGAACCATAAGACTAGAGAAAACTCCATGAGATTACTCACCTCTTATCTTGCTTCAAATACCTCATTTCCGCCTACATTTTTCCTTCCAGTGACTTGATAACAGCAAAATCACTTTAGCCCCTAAACCAAACCAAACCAAAATAACCCAATATATCCTACTCGGAGGTAGGGACTAGGAAAGGTGAGATGTAAGCAGACTTGACCTCTACTCGAAAGAAAAGAGTGGCTGTTTCCCATGAAGACTCCGGATTCTGGAAAGGTGTATGTATGTGAGGTATAAAAAACATTGACCTATGCTTTTCAGAAAGGTTGCCACAAAATTTGACGAAAAAGAAGGAAAATGAATGGAAAAGGGAAGAGTTCAAACGATCGGTGCATGATATTTTGGGAACATAAGGAATTGCAAATTCCATTGTTGTTACCGTCTTTGGAGCTGCAAAAGTTCTTTGGCAGGGTTTACCATTTAATTGGTTGATGATTTTGATGTTGTGCTGGTTGTGAACTTATATTGACTGTTTACTACAGAGATCAGAATTCAGAATTTTGGCTCTAAGGTCTCTGCAGTCTGAGGGTTTTCTTCCCCAAACCTTCATCACCCAATGGGATGGTAGCACAGCAACCAGGCAGGAAACAAGGGGGATAAAGTTTAGGCATGTTGGACTCTTGGATGAGGAGAGGGGACCATGAATGATGGTTGGAAAAACAAACAAGATAGATCATAGATGTTGATGATTTTTTCATCAATGATTCCATGAAAAGGAATTGTAGTTTAAGCATGTCTTGTTGTTGGTAGGTTAAAAGTTTACTTGAACTTGAAGACTTAAATAACACTTCCTTTAAGACTTGAATAACACTTCCTTTAAGATTTTTAACTGTCCCCTACTACAAAATTAGTATTACTAACGAGATGCACAAAAAAACCTTCGTAAGTAACAATGGAATTCAAGTTTAACAAGAAGGGAAGTTAAAATGAAATCTTCTTGACGACAAACAATAAATTTGTAAAATGGTAATGTAAGATGGTATTGTTCTTATATCGAATTTCAAATATGGAACTTCAATACTTCACAAATATTTATAGAATAGGTGCACTTTCCCACAAGAACATTTTCCCATCAAAAGCATGTCTATAAGATGGCTTCTAATAGTTAGAAATGGATTTTGAAACAATCTTTGGTAGAGGAGTTCTAGGGGAAACTTGAATCCAAATTTGAACCTTTTTATTTTGCATCAAACGAGATACCAGACATATACTTATTAACCTTAGAGAATTTCAAGGGATTATTTGTCTAAAGCTTATGCAACTGTTTAACCATCTGTGCACATACATATGCATACAGGATGTGGCTTTACACTTGGTTCACGTTTGCTTTGCAGGAATGGAAAGGATTTGAGGGGATTTGGAATTCAAATCCATTCCAATCCCGTTTTGGCTTGCAGGATTGCTCGGATTTGAAATCCTAGGATTTCTTTCAAATCCCTCAAACATGGGATTTTGAAATCCCATGGGGGTGGTTGGGATTTCAAAGGATTTGTACATAATAATGTTCTAAAATACGTCGAAAACGTTTGTTTTCCAATAATCAATTAATAATAAGGTAACCAAATTATTTTTATAACTATTTGTAATTTCTTTTACAAATTATTTATAAAGAATAGAATTCAATTCCATTCAAAATCCTAAAAACCAAACACACCAAACATTCCAAATCCTTCCAAATCCAAATCCCTCCAAACCATTCCATCACCAAACGCCCATTAAGGTTCTACAAACTGAAGTTTATAGATTGGATATTGCCTACACCCGACCAAGAATTTCAGTCATTTTGATGCAATCAACTTCTCTTCTAGTAAGAACAGAAAAATGGCTTCCCAAAAGAAGACTTGTTAATTCTTACTAGAATCAGTTAGTTCCAACAGTTCCTCCCAGTTTCCTTAATGATCAATAATTACTTGAGATTGGAAAACATGCTTACTTGTACATATATCTAATTACACAGTGAAAATAAATAAGGGATTAGCATCTAACTTAATAACATGAAAATTAAATGAAGTGCAAATTTTGTGAGTTTACAAGTAAGAGTAACTCAATAGAATTTTAAGTGATTATAGACATAATTATCCATTTGCAATAGCAATAGGAAAATGTCAGCTTATATGCTGAAGTCACGGGACAAGAATGGAACTTTGGAAACAAAGTAAGAGTTCATTAGCTTTTGTGGATTTTCTTTTTCACTCTCCTATGGCGCATTTGAAACATGTATGTCTCCTATGATCTACATAACTTTAATCCTTTAACATCTAGTTTTAAATAATAGATCTTATAGCAAGCAATTCTCCCTTCCTTACGAGAATAGATCGTTTTCTTAACATGTAGAATTACACATAAACAGAAATACATGCAGATATTTAACATGTTGCAACAAATAATTCAAATTATCATGTATGCATACATGTACTGCATAGCCCACGATCACACACAAAGCATAAATGACCACTATCAAGGTATCCATGACATGTACTGCATAGCCCACGATCACACACAAAGCATAAATGACCACTATCAAGGTATCCATGACATGTACTGCATAGCCCACGATCACACACAAAGCATAATTGACCACTATTTAGGTATCTATGACTGATACCATCTTTAGCTCTACATAAAATAATATGAGATATGAATTCAAGTTAAGGTTTCATGAAATATATTTTTGTAAACAAGGATCAGTCACAATATGATTGATAGCACATATAACTATAACAGAGTGATCTAGTCTCAAAGTTTCCATCAGACATTAGACGTACGCTAGAAATATTCTAGCTGTCTCTGAGACACATCTAGAGATAAGGAAAGCCAAAAATAGATATAATTATAGAAATGTAATCATCTCCATGTAAAGCAGCATCCTAGTCATTTCTTTACTATATCATAATACAGAACAGGGGAAGAGAGAGTGTAATCCATCATGTGACACATCTTTATTGTGTTTGTGCCCAAGACGTGTCTGAAATAGCTGGTTCACCTGTTGAGCCATTTGAGCTTGATAGCTTATCAGCCAATCACATAAGAAACAACTGATTATCAAGGAATGACAAGTGTAGGACCAACACCTTGAACTCAAGAAGTACCCAATCGATAAGCCTAGTACCTTAGACCATTCATCGACTTGTCATCTTGTTTAAAATGGGTCATTTGCAGTATCATAATTCAAGATAACTGAGCATGTACATAGATATTGGTCTGCCGCCTACAAAAACATATGGTAGCCTACCACCCTTTATAACTTTTAAGTGTAACCATGTGATAGAACAAATTGCCAAGAACAACCTAAAGATAAACTTAATATGACAAACATGGTTGCTAAAGAGAGACAAATTTGTACATAATAACATTGTCGGCAAATAAATATATATATATATATATATATATATTACCAAACTTAAACATAACCACTTCAATAGGAGCATGACAGCAATAACAGTTGCATGCAATACCATCAGCAAGACAGAATATGTGGGTAATCATATACAAAACATTAGGGAATTATAATGTTAGGCAACATACCACTCTCATAAATAGTTACTGGGAGATCCTTTTGCGCATGATTGATCGAAGGATTCAAAAGAACATACACAGGGCTTTCATTGATATCCATCAACTGTTACAACCACAATCATCATGTTTAAATAATGGTATATTGCATAGAGAAAACAATGTAAGCTATCATTAGCCAGTTTGACAAAACAAAAATCCTTTTAACAAATTTGTGTGACACGTTGTCCAATTAAAAGATTCCGATATCAGAAGGCCTATGTGGCATGCTGACCTTCACACACATCCTGACAGCTTGGAACACTTTTAAACGCGTCAATTAAATAATACTTGGTAATAACTAGTTGCCATGATACATCACTGTTAAAGGAGTTGTGGTTAAAATTTCTTTACTAAATACATGTAATCAGAACCTGTAGGATTCAAGATGCACATGTGGACATGTACAACTGGGATAACAGCCAACACAAGCCAGTCAATTTCAATGCAAGAAAAATACGAAAACCTTAATAAGGAGGGTTGGAAAAAAGAAGAACTAATGAATAAGAATGTCTGATCAATTTATTAGCTTTGTTTCCTCTTATTCAAGTTGCAAGCCATTAATAAACGAATTCTGTGCTCAAAGGGAAATATCATTTGACATATTGATGATCAACCTTCTAAACAAGTTAAATGCATAAAATGTTATAATATTTCACACATTTGAAATTTAGCTTTAAAGAATAGTGCTTACAGCTTTGTGTATGTGCATATCTGATTCTTCTGCATCTGCACTTGTAGAATACCACCCAAGGATGTAGAAGTTGGGAAACACTTTCTTATCTGTTTCATACACAAACCCACATATTGATTCATGGTACAGAAAAAACCTCATCACCGATTGCCTTATGAAAACAAAAACCCTAACATAAAATGAAGGCGAAACCCTAGAAGTCGATAAGCTATGAAAGACAAAAAAATTTAACCTTTATATGTCTCAGAATATGCATACAAACAAGTGCATAAAAGCTTAGACTGTTAGAGTTGAAACTCACAGAGTTCTTGTTTCTTCTCGAGGAAGGAACGATCGAGGGAATGGGTGGAGGGATCATAGAGAAGTTCAAAGCTGTTGAAGATCTCGACGGTACGTCCTCTTTGAACTCCAATGACGCAACCGAAGACCCTAGGAGAAGAAAGAGGGGGCGAATTGGAAGAGGCGGAGGTGGCGTCAGAAGCAAAACCGTTGGCGGTGGGGGGTTGAGATTGAGACTTGACACGTGTGTGATGATCCGATATGTTGACGATGACGAGTGGATGAAGCTTGAAGGTTAGTCCACTACTGGATGATGCCATTTGAGTAGTTGTTGAATCTTTGAGTGCCGCCAGAGTTTTCTCCGATGGAGGAATGGATACGGAGGGGATGATCTTTTTGCCGTCGGGGGGGGGGGGGTGTTTAACCAGGCCCAGGCCGACCTTTATTTGATTAATGTCAGCAATTTTTGTTAAAAAAAAACCTCTTTATTTCTTGATGAACACAACCCAAATCATGTCACCTCATCCTTTTATTATTAACCTGTAGATACATAAAATTATCTCTGTAAATTAAAAAGTTTGTTTGGAAGGATTTTTTTCATATATATATATATATATATATATAATATGTTTTTAATTGTGTGGGGTTATATTTGAAAGAAAAATATCGATTTTACATAAAACTTTCTCTTATAAACTTGTTAAATAAGTCATTTTTTATATCATTAATCTACTACCAAACAGTAAATTATAGGCTATAGCTAACCAAATAAATTATAAGTAAACCAAACGCATTTAATTATTACTTTTTTATAAAAGAGGAGTTCATTTACTAATATGTTAAGAATTATTTGATTTATTATTATTTTAAGAGAGGAGTCACAAATACTAAATAGGTTTTCAAAATCCTATTTCAATAAATATAACAAATATTCTTTTGAAATACAAGACGATAATATGAAAGAGAAAAGGCGAGTGTAAAAAAATGAAAGCTACAAATTCTACAAGATGTAAAAAACATATCAACATCTGACAAAAAAAGAGTCAAGACTCTGACTAAAAACAGACGTAACGAGAACCAATCACAACCAACCAATGCTAACAAACCGCCACACCAAATGACGTGAACATGTAGATGATCATCGAAACTTTACCCACTACAACAATTTGTCAATAGATGTTTAAATCCATAGCCCAAATTGAAATCAACTCAAAAAATGACAAATACTTTATACAAATTTTTTGCTTCTACAAATTCCCCCAAGTCTCAACTCCATCTTTAACTGTAAAAATGTTATCAGTTGGTCTTATTTGCGGGCTTTGGACAATTTTTTTCTTTTTCTAACTTTAATAACATGAAAACGGAGAATGGCCAAATGGGCTCGGCCCAGCCTGGAACTAGAACAGATTTGGGATCAGCCCCATCTGTGACCATTTGGGAGCGGTTGCGTTTTTAGGCGGAAATGAAGGCCCAATCCGGCCCAGTTATGAGACCAACCTAGCCCAACCTGATTTTTTCAAAACAATATTACCGTTTATAGGCGTTGAAATAATAGTCTTATCACCGGGTTTTTTTGCCATTTTACCGGTTTGTTTTGTCATTTTAAGCCTCTATACACTACATATAAGTCATATGGTGAATGGTGGAGGTATCAACTCACAAACGCAAAAAACATTCATGATTCTCACTATATTTTGCAATTTCGACTTGTATTTGATTTTGGTTTTTAACAACTCTTACTTCTCATCTCCTTCTCTTTTTCTTCTTTGTGTTATTACTTACTCAAGAATCAAGATGGCCGCCCAACATGATGCATCCAACGAAAGCATTGTCAAAGTTATCACCGACCGTGGAAGAAAATATGAGACTTGGAATTCTTATAACATGGTCTTACTCGTCAATGGGAAAAGGAAGGCACAATGCAAAAGGTGTCATGCTTTCCTTATTGCCGAGGGAAATTCAACCTTGAGGTGTCACTCCGAAATAACTCAACACACGACATCACTAAAGGTGGAGCTTGAAGATGTGGAAGAAATCTTAGAAGAAAATGAACATGCTATGAACCTATCAATTCCCCCAACTACTAATATCGACGACACTTACTCACAATTTGAAGATGATGATGAGCCCAACATTGATGACGTTGAAGCTCTTCTTAAACTTCAAAATGAATGAACTCTTTTCTAGGATTATATATTTACATTGATATATTTTTACATGTATTTTTTAAATTTTTAAGTGTATGTGATTGAAAACAAATTATAAAATTGTAATAAAACGTATTTTTTAAGTGTGTATTTGATTGACCCAATTACTTTTTTACAAGTGTATTATAATAACAATTTTGTATTTTATAAAAAAATCTAAAGAAAATTATGTAAAAAATACAATTACCGGTTTGGGCCCCGCCTGAGATCGGGACCGGTTATAAGTAATCTTGACCGAGTCTGAAGATTTCGACCGGGACCAGTTACGATAACAGTGATCGGGAGACCCGACTGGTGACGAATTTTGGCCATCTCTACTTAAAAATTCTTATTAATAAATGATGGTTTTCTTTTGTTTTGATGGGCTGGGCCATTGTTTGGCAATTGGGCTGCAAATAAGATATGGGCCTGCACAGCTTGTTTTAATAAATAAATAAAAACTTAGAGAATCTACTCATGAGTCATGAATATGGCATCAACATTCAACGCTCCTCAGCTACTACTGCTTCTGATTATCTGACATCTTTTAATGTAAATATATATACATATATGTATGTATATGTACATATATGTATGTATAACAAAAAATTGTGTGAGAATAAAAGTTAAAATGATAAGCGTAAGAAGAAATATGGACTCTTCTTCGCTTTTAATTTCACTCTCATCTCATGAATTATGCTTGATATGAGAATTAATATGATACATCTTATTAGTGTTGATCTTCATTTAAGATTGATTCAAAAATGAAGATATATTTTTATCCTTCTCAATATAACTCTTAACTATCATTTATATATATAATTAACGAGGAATATAAAATCTTAATAAAATTAATTACATCCAAAAATTAAATAGTTAGTATCTTTTATTAATTAAAGTATAAACAAATAATAATGTTATCAATATATTAATAAAATTACGAAGAAAGAAGTTGGTAAAAATGGAATTTTGCCATCAACAAACTAGGGTGGAATTTTTTTTACCAACATTTAAACGAAAATCGAGATTAAAAATGTGATTTTATGTAGCGATATGATCAAGCATCATTTGGCAAGATCAAACATCACTTTGACTTGTCATGTTTACCGTCCTACTAGTTTTCTCACACATGTTATATACGATTTAGTTAGAATCATGATTTCATAATTAAAAAACTACAACTCAAACTATAAAATACAGTTTGAAAAAAGAGTATAAATCATAAACCATAAACCGTAACGTGAAAACTATAAACCACATAATTGTAATTTGGGATTGTCAATTTAAACGGTCTTAATTTAAAGATCATTAGATACTTTAGTTCAGTTTTAGCTGAAGACTCTCGAACCACTTTAATAGCATCCAACTTGAAATTTAAATTAAACCAATCATTGAGAATTAATGTGTGTAGCAAGAATGAATGATGATGTGATGGTTGCAACTTCACCTGCCATGGCGGTAATTAACTACTCGTGGTATGAAGGACCTATTTGTTAAATCATTGGCGTAAATTGTGTTTGTTTAACACGATTATTGATTGATTATTAGTCCATCGGTTAATTAACCTTAATGGTATGAAGGACTTATTTGTTAAATCGTATGTCATTGTGTTTGTTCGATAAGGTATATTAAATAATATATGACTAACTCATAACTTACATCTAAAAACTTCACAACAAAACACTGCAATGATAAAAAAAATCGAACATTCACAACAAAAACATTAATTAATAGATAGGACGTATTACAATAATGTAGGAACCAGTTTAGAAGTCTACTATACATGTTAATTAGTTAGTAATTAATCTTACTATATGTATATTACATTAAATTAAGTAGATAATGAATTCATTATTTTTTTGAGGTGAGACACCATAGATATGATATGATATGATATGGTATACGCCCAACTACATTAGCAATCTTTGCTTGTTTTATATTTATGTTTATATTAGAGACCTTTAGTACAATATTAATTAATGTATTGTAATTATAAATATTTAAATAATTTTACAAATTAATTAGTGTTATATTTTTCATTATAATTTCACCTTTACTTGCATTTATACCAAACTCATTAATTATTTTCCAATTTCACTTAATTTAATTTGATCCCAAGGTTTCTTAATTTGGCAACATATGAAAAGAATGTATATATTTAATTTGCATTAACAGAATAATAAAACATGATTTGATGTTGATACATGTAAACTTAAATGTAAATTAGTTCATATTCCCTGATTTCTAGGCCTAAATTCTTTCAAACTAAAAGATAACAACCGAAGATGGAAAGAGAATTGAATTAATTAACATTGAGATATGGAATGGAAGTAGTTTTTCCAAGTGAAACCTTTGAAATATCAAGAAGCATGCAGGTGGTACATGTATGTATTGATATGTGAAGAGGGGGGAAGGAAATGAAGAAGAGTGGAAGTGGGAATTGTGAAGAAGAATCGAAAAGGGCGATGGATGTGCAGTTGCAGTAGGAGAGTATGAATTAATGAGATGAGATGTATGGTGGTTGCACATATGTTGTAGATAGACAAAAGAGATGTAGACAGATGGGTGTGTAGCAGTAGGCAGTAGGGCATGTGCATGGCAGTGGCTGGCCTTAGCTTGCGTGCGAGATCTCACATTTGCTAGTAAACCATCTTATCATTTGTCAGCAACTACTATACTATATCCCCACCCCCCTGTCTACAATCAATCATACCACCTATATCTATACATCCATATATACATACATATATATATATATATATATGACTGAAGTTTGAGAATGAAATAAAAACTAAACATATTTAAGTATATATAATACATAGTCATAATGAATATGGCTAAAGTTTGAAAGTTGTTGGTGTAGTTAAGGTTCTTAATTAAATGATATTTGACAGGCTTGGTTTGCACTTCATTTTTTATACATTGTTATTTTTAAACAAAAATTATTTCAGTATTAATTATGTTTAATTTTTATACATGAAAGTTTTATTAGTTTTGAATTTAAATTTTGAAGACAAGGGAGAGAGAGGGTGAAGTATGATAGGAGGAAAGGGACAAGTAGAAGGGGGGAGCAAAGGATCCCTAATTTTCATAGTCTTGTTTAGCAGACAAGAGGCATAATTTTAGGCCTTTCCCAAACTCCCAACCACAACCACAACATCAATTGCAATTCTTTATTATTTTACTCTTTTTTTTTATTGCTTCATTGATTTTCATCTTTTTAAACAAATCCCCTTTTTCACTTATAAAAATGAGCTTTCCTATCATTCTTAAACAACCCTACTTTCTATATCTAAATATATGTATGTAAGTCGTGATTTTTAAATAAAAATAATCGTTTTTATATTCATTATTTGTCAAAAACCATCTATTTGCTCCTAAACTATTTCATAAAATTAAGATGTTTGACAACAAAACCCGATGATAATTTAAAAAACCAATAAACATTTGTTTGATAAACAAGAACCCTAATTATTAATATTTCTCTTATCAAAAACTTGACAAACCTTCCTCTTTCTCTCTCTCTCTCTCCCACCATCCATCAACAAGTTTCTAATTTTATATATTTACAAAGCATTTATGTTTTCATTCTTTGTAAACATTTTTCATATCACCAAAGTTTTCACAAATTACAACATATATGTTTTACCTTTTTATTTAAGCATAAGTGACCCTTTAATTTGTTTTCAATGCTTACTAATTCCGTCTATTTTATTTTTTAAATAATCTCGTAAATTAAAATCTATATCACTAATATTGTATTCCATTGCAATTTATGTATCATATTTCAATATTTTGTCAAAAGTTCTCGAAAAGATCCAAATTCACTTGGGACACGTAAAAATGGTCATGGTTGTAAGGATACTAGGTGACATTTGGTTTACAAAATAACCTCTCTTAGAATCGAAATTTGTTATATAATTTGAAATCTTAAGGATTAATTGTAATGTAATTTAATCAAGTTTGACCATGCATGTTTTTAGTTGACAGGAAATTAAATGAAATTTATTTGTTTGATCCGTTGAAGCTAATATAACTTCAGATATTTTATTAAATAATTATAATTAGCCAAAATACTATATAATGATAAAATTTGATGGTAGAGCTGATCATCATGGTGGATGTGGTGATGAGTATCATGATAGCAACAACAACAATAGTGGTAGTGATGATGGCGATGTCAATAGTGGTGGCAGTGACATCGACAGTGGCAACATCGATGGTAGTGGTGGAGCAGGAGGTGGCAGAGGCGATGACAGTATTCATGGTGCGACGGCATTGGTTATGGTGGTGATGACAATGCTAGTGGCGGTACTGTTATTAGTGGTGTTATATGCAGGATATAATTGATTAGAGTAAATATAAGGGAAGAATAATCTTTCTTATATAAGACATAAGAAAAAAGAATTGGAATTCCTAACTAAAACCCAAGAAATTCAAATTTCACCATATGTGGTGTCGGAATTGTGAATCACATTTAATGAATGGAATTTGGTCGTTATAACTAACCATTCCAATTCATTCAGACTAGTGTTTGACACCATGCATTGTGTGTTGATCAAAACTCAATTTAAGAAAAAAATGTAAAAACTTCGACTCGAGTGGAAGTGCGATGTGTCTGAAAACTCGGGATCGTATTTATATTTATAATGTCCCGTCCAACACCATAAATCACAATTTGGAGAATACTAACATCAGATGAAAGCACGTCATTGAGTCGACATTTTCATTCTCTGTATTTATAAGTGATATAATAGATACTTAAACTACATTTATTATTATAAGTACTGCAGTAATCACAATTCTTGTTAAACAAAAAAATATATCTTTTGCATTTGTTTTGTACAAAAAATTTACTAATTGATTGGTTTTGATTTCAAATCATGGTTATATATTTCAAAGTTCCATCATGTTTTTATATATCCACCATCTTCTCCCAAACTATCATTTTTCTACCAATATGAGGTGATGAAAGTCAACTTTATTTTAGATTTGATGAACACTCAAACATCATGTTGTCAAGTCATCATCCTTGGTTTAACTTTTATATTTGCATTGTAATTTTTACCATTTGGTTAGTTTTGATTCCAACAATGGTTATAAATTTCAATGAGGTAAACCCCATGATTTAACACAAATGCATCTAATCCACATTTTTTATACACTTCACTTTGTTAAGATCATTCAACTAAAACTCAACTACAATTCACCATTTGAGAATTCTCAATTCGTAATAAAAGTTTTATTTTTATATATATAAAGATTTGGTTAAAAACACGAAAGACTTGGAGAATAAAAATAAATGAGGTAGAATTGAAATAATATGTAATTATGTGCTAATAACATTAACATGCATAGAATAATATCAACAAAAACGAAGCCACTAAAACCCGAATGGCACAACTTTATTATTTCATTAATTTAATCAACTCCCCAACTTAATCCCCTAATTAATATACTCCCTTTATAATTGCAGTCCACCTTATACTAAGCTATTTGTTGCCTTGCAGTGGATTAGGTTTACTGAATCTCTAATTATATATACTATAACTAGAGCTATCTAAGTATATAAGATGTGTCATGTGTTATACATATATATATACACATGTACATACATAAACTCACCATCTCATTTCAGACCATGGAACAAGAGAGGAGAATTGAAGAATGTCAAGTTTCAAAGACCTGTTTGAGTTAGTTTTTTTCTTTCTTTCATGCAAATTTAACAGCATATATATTAAGATTTGCATGTAAGATTGAATACCATGCTGTAGTGAGGTCTCTAGGGTTGAATTATTAATTAGGGTTTCCTCTTGTATGTAGAACTAATTATGCACATATATATGTATGTGAGAGTGCCATGTGTATGCATAATTAAGCATGTATCATGTATGTAAGATGTTTATTAATATCGATTATATATGATGAAGATGTATAGAGTTGATTAATACCAAGAAGAAACAGAGAAAAGGGGTTTATTCTGCCACCCCAAGAAGAAAGAATCATTGACAACCTCAAGATTATAACCTTCAGATGGATAATGAAGTCTCAACAGCAGCTTGGCTTGTGAAAGAGCAAATGGGCTTAATGCAACATTCCGAAATCCAGCGATCCTCATCATCATCTCCCACGATAGAAACCTCTCATGTCTCTCTCTCCTCTTCTCTCCCTCCGCTGTAACTATGTCTGCAATCTCTCTCCCAAACCACACCTGCTCCACCTCCATTCTTTCCCTGCTGTTTGGTGGCAGCGTAGCTTCTAGAGAGTCGAAGATGGCAGTATAATAGCTCAAAGCCTCCTCGAATCTCGACAAGAATAATGGGTGGTTGTGGTTTGCTTCCCTTTCTGCTAAGGTGACCACCTTAGGGTTCATGGCCTTGATCTTTCTTAGTAACAAGCAGAGTTTATCTCGGTCGATCAAGAGGCGGTGGAGGTAGAGGACGCAATTCACGGCGAGGATTTCGTTAGGGAGGAGGAGAACCGCCGAGAGGTGGTTGATGACGTCGTCGACGGTGTGGTGGTTGTTGGTTTGGTCAGGAAGTAGGAGGGGGAAGAATCGGAATCTGAGACCGAGTGAATGGGCGAACTTGGAGAGACGATCTCCGGTTCTACGAAGGATGTCAAGGTTGGTGCCGGTGGCGGTGATGCGTAGGGTTGGAGGATGGTGGCGGTCGGCGATGGCTTGCATCAACGGCGGCCACTGGACGCCGTGCATGATGTCGAAATCCAATATATGAATATCATGAGGTTGAGGAGAAGAAGTAAAAGAATGATTTTGTGGTTGGGGTTGATCAATGGCTTCCAAGATAGCTTGATTAGCAGTGAGCTGACTAAATCTTATGAATGGGGTTATTTGATTGAGTGATAAATATGATGATTGTAGAATCGCATCATCATTTTGATCATGGTAATTAGAGGAAGAATTATTAGAAAAATTGTTAACTTTGATGGGAAAAGGCGTTGGTAGGTTAAGGTGGAGACGGATGCGAAGAGAAAGGGCTTTGGTGAAAGAGTGGATTAATCTTTCCGAGGAATCGCCGTAAGGGGAAGAATTGGAGGAGAGGATGGTGGTGATACGGTGGGCGGCGGCGAAGTCGGAGTTGGAAATGGACTGGGCACAGCTTGAGAGGAGTTGACGTAAGTAGATAGATGGTGGGGTGTAGCTACTTAACCTGCTCACCATCTCGACTTCTTGATGCTGATGTTGTTGGATCTGGTGGTGGTGTAGCTGACCGGCGGTTCCTGGCGGTGGCGGTGGCGGTGGTGGGGATGGATCTGTTTGTAAATGAACTTCTTGTTGTTGTTGTTGTTCTTGATGATGATGTTGTGAGCAAGATGAAGAACCCAACATCTAAAGACAGTTTCTTGGTTGAATCTTGAAGATGGTAAGCTAGTTAGGGTTTTAACCTATATGTTGCCCCAAATTAAGAAGCCTAAAATCCTGAAAACACAGATCCGCCATAACTGTGAGAGACTATTTGCAAGGGAGTGGAAGGCAAACCACCTGAAGAAGAATGATTAGGACAGGGAAGGGTGTGTGGAAGCTGAAGGGATACATATATACATGCCCCCACACACATAAATTATACAACATCTATATATATATATATATATATTTCAATATTTACATGAACAAACAATAGCTCAAAGGGAAGTGGTAACTACAGTATGTCCCAGATATCTACAGTACTTGTTTATAAAGTGTGTACCAATGTCACTATGCATTGTGATAAAACAATAAATATATCTATCTATCCATAAATATACACACATATGCAACAAGACACATATACAAATAGATACAATAAGGATAATTAATGCGATTATGTTAGAGCTAATTAATTAATACATATGAAACAATCAAAATAATATATATATATATATATATAGAGAGAGAGAGAGAGAGAGAGAGAGAGAGTATTAATCAATAGCTCTTCATCCATAACAAGAATGAGCACTAATTAATTCATGAAAATAAAGCCAGCTAAAAGAAATTTAGAGAATATGTAGAATTATGTTTTAAAAAAGACAAAAAAGAGAAGAGAATAATCTTTTATCAATTGTTTCCATCTCATTGGCTGATGATATTGTGTTCACTTCAATTTTATGGATTTTCAAATGCATTTTTCAAAAACTGTTAATTGTGTGAAAAGTGTAACAGTTCTTTGGATGAGTTTTATATAAAAGTATTGCATGTGATTAAGCTTAATTAATTATGTTGTGATATATATCTTAATTAGCTAGAGTTGTATCAACTATATATCAAGTAACTATGCTCAAAAGATCACTAATACGTCAATGTCATGTAACTAATTAGGAGGTGTTTGGGATTGTTTATAAAAACAATTTATTGACTTATTCTCGTATGACACCTGTAATAAACACTTTGGGTTGTTTGCATAAACAGCTTATACTCGTGCCAAATCGGTAATAAAGAGTTTTTGAAAAAGTTAAACCATTCTGACTTATAATTATTTGATAAAGACTTTTGTAGAAAATTATAAGTTGTTTCAAATAAACAATCTTAAACATCCCCTTAATAAGAAAGTTGATGAGTCGGTTCAACCTCATATGCGACTTGACGTTTATATGTTAGTCTCTTTCTCTTGGATATCTATATTGAACTCAAGTTGTAGAACATGTGTTTGATTTGCTCCTAAAACAAACTATTCAATACAAATAAACTTAATCAATCCCCTTTACATTAATTATTGATTCACTTTACACGACTAATGCATTTCATACTCCAACATTAAAAAGTCCAATGTAAGGACAAATCACATATGTGGTTATCCATTTTGAATTTGCAATATATAGACGAAGAATCATGTGAGAAAAGAGCTAAGTTGATAAACGTGAGAAAAGATCTGACCCTTGATCACTTTTAATCCACCCAAGAACCACGCTTACTACAGGGATTGATCTGCTGCATCTTATCTTGGTGCATTTCATTCAACAAATGGTGGAGATTCTTTTTTACGCTTTCCAGCTACAAGAAAAATATCCTTCAGAGAAGGTTTTCTTTTGTATTTAAAAGTCTGAAAAGCTTCTTTAAAGGTTTAGAGAAACTTTTCACTTCCGTCAAAAAGTTTCCCTATATAACATTAGGTAAAAGTTTTAGACAGGGTTTTCGAATGGTACATTTATGTTAACATTTAGAGAAGCTTTTTTGGGCTTTAGATACGTTTTCGAAGCTTCTCTAAAACCCCATTGTCTTGTAGTGTTGACTTTCCTTCTAATCAGAACCCAAACCTATATATATGTATGTGTGTGTGTTAAATGATTGACTTCCCAAGGATGTCATTGGGATGACATAAAGACATTGCTTCTCATATAAAGAGTGTCGTAGTTTCATGTGTGAAGATTATATGTATAGGGGCATGTTTAAATGAAAAACTGAACATTTTGTGAGAAGACGAGAAATTTTAATATTATTATATGAGTACACGTATGATAGACACATAATCATATATGATTAAACACATGTTGCATTATCAACGCATAAACGCTTATAATGATTAAACACATGTTGCATTATCAACGCATAAACGCTTAATCATAATGATTAAACACACCCAAAAAACAAAAAAAATTATATATGATATTGAAACTTTTCGCATTTTCATAAAATGTTTAATTTTTTGCATGACCCTTCCTTTTTCTCTTTTATATATATATATATATATATATATATTAACATCATTGGTATTATGAGAAAGCTTAAAGACATGTCTAATATAGCAATGTACATAGAAATAGCATTTTGATGATGACTCTATCACATATGTAAAGCATGCACGATGAATGGGTGGGTATAAGATTAATGATGATCAAAGGTTTAGATTTTTTCTTATGCTTCTCAATTTAACTCTTTTCTCGCACAATCTTGGTAGCAAATACATTCATTTAAGTATTGTACATTTAAAAGAAAATGAAATGGAAAAGATGAAACCCAGAAAATAAAATTGCAACAAATATAATTAGTTGTAAAATAGATTGATTAAATGTTTAGAATTTGTATGGAAAAATGAATGAAGAAAGAAATCTGCTTGTACATAAACATAAACAGTTGAAAATAATTGAAACTTTTGGATATTAAAATGCTAAACTAAAAAGTGTAGAGAAAAGAGGAACACTTTTCCAAAAACAGTACACCAAATACACGCAAAGCTTTAAATGATTTCCATTTCTTTTTTCCTTTTTTTTTATTTTTTTTATAAATTAATTAAATAAATCACGTATTATATATAATAAAGTTTACTTATCTCTCCTCTTTAAAGTTTAAAATAATAATGAATAGATGGTATTATGTGATTGGTTGATTGAGCCCACGTGGGGTTGATCAAACACCTTCTGAGCTTAACCCCTCCCCACGTGTGTTGTTTTATTACCATTATCATTACCATTATTATTTTTATTTTGATGCATAACTGAAACATTTAAATTCCATACAATACCAAAAACATGATTCAAGTAGCAATTAATGTGTTTGTATGATATATAAAATTGAAAGGATGAATATGTGTGGTGAGGAAGGGGAAGGGGAAGGGGAAGGGGAAGGGAAAGGGAAAGGGAATGTCCTTTTCCTTTCTTCCTATTCCTATATATTTATCATTTGGAGTGTAAGCATTAAAAAGCTGCTTTGGTTCTTGCATTTTCACTAACTTTCTGCATTCTTGATGTGACATCTTCTGCTCCTATTCACCCTACACCCTTTCTTTCTTTCTCTCTCTTTACTCTCTCTCTCTCTCTCTCCATATATATATATATATATATATATATATAAGATTTTACCTCTATAATCTTCTATCATCATGAAGATTCGGTGTTATTTATATAATTTCATAAAATCAACCTGATCTCGTATGATCCAAATGTGTGTGTGTGTATATATAAATGTAAGAAAAAGCATGAGTTATGGGTATAGTTAGTTGTGGCATGATTGTATAATAGGTTATCCAAACTCATTGTGTTGTATCATTATCTATTTAATGCTGCTTTTCTTATTTATTAATTACATTTTCCCATTTTTAGTGAAGAAAATATATATAGTACCATACCATGAGAGCGGCCAGTAGTTTCTTGTGCTACTTGAAGTTGTCAGTTTAAAAAAGAAAGCCAAATGGTAACAAGATGGTGACATTTCATAAAATATCATTATATAATTTACTGTTTATATATATAAAAAGATTTTGACCTTTTTTACTGCTCATTTTTAACTGCAACTTGTGGTTGTGGATCATAATGGGTTCCAACCATATTTAAAGACTTAGCCATGCCCAGCCCAAGTTCATTAACAGTACAAGAAATGATGAAAAAGGACTTAATATTATATCCGATTCCTGTTCTACAAACAACACCAACAAAAATATTCAAGACTTCTCTTTTCTGCAACAGATACAAAAATAACCCCAATTCCAACGCCATATATACATCCCATCCACACCATTCTTCAAAAATTTTACATATTTCAAATCTTTGAATTCGATTTTCTCCAACTGCTGTCCATCGACAACAACCTCGGAATGCTTAGTAAACTATTGACACGAGCCACGCCTTCAAGAGCCGACCATTCTTCATCCTCCGAGGTTGATATGCATTCCGCTAGGCTCCTTTTAGACCCTCCAACCCTCTTTTCTGCTACCTTCTCTTTCGCCAATTCAATCTCATTACAATCTCCACTACTGTCCGAATGCTTTTCAATCTCATCGATATTATCTTCTTCCTTCCTCGTATTCATCACCTTCACCTCCTCATTTACAACATCAATATCTTGTTTCTTCGCTTCCTTCTCGACACCCTTGGGCTTTTGGTCAAGAAATAGGCAGACAGCAGCACAATCGTCGGTTTTAGAAGTTGGGTATTTGAGCTTCCAGGCTCTCGTAGCACAGTCAACGAGCGCTCTGGCTGCTGTCGATCGGCCAGGGGCTGTAGCCACGATGTCCACAGCTTCCTTATTTGAGAGGACATCCCATACCTGTCCCAAAAATAACATTAGCTTATACAACAAACTGGTTAACAGACCTTTTAACTTTCCGACATCTTAAAAGTCATAGCCGAAAAAAGGTACCCCATCAGTAGCAAGAATCACAAACTCGTCTCTATCAGTAACACGGTGGTAAAAAACATCTGGGACCGAAATTAAACCAAAGTCCTTTAGACAGAAATCCCCAAAGGCTCTAGCCATTGCCAAACCAGGAGAATCACTGTTGGGCAACCATACGCGTGAAACCTCTGGCTCGTCTTGCAATGCAAACACCCTTCCTTTAAATTGCTGAATCCTAGCGGCTTCTCCTGAAAACCAACCAAATGATGGTTCATCATGTTTACTCAAGAAATCTTTAATCTGCAAAGATTTGCAAGTACAATTATACGTAGATAGAGATAGTGTAATGAGTTACTTGGGAGATTAGGTTTCAAGTCGACAGTCAACTGGACAGCAACTAATGAATTGTCTTCATCTCTGGTTGCCATCACCGCTCTTGAATCACCAACGTTCCCAATTATAAGATCCTGATCCTGAAAGACCATGTCCATTATTCGTGAAAGCACTTTAGATCAATTTGATATCCATCTTGGGTACACAAGTATCTGAACAATTGGCAAAAAACCCCTATTTGATCTAAGCCCAACAATTAGACTAGGAAAACTTGGTTATAGTGTCATTATCTATATCAACCAGTCTACAGTTTCAACTTTATTGAACAGAAAAGAAAAATAAACATAAACTACATGAAACTTTGAACATGTTACAAAAGATGCCTCTTGCTGACCGGTAATAAACAATGAATGTAACAAAGATTTAAAAATATAATTAGGTGCAACTGCAACAATCAACATCACAATCGAATATGTTAAAAATCATGCAGCGTCATTTCTTTGACAACTAGTTCAATTTCCAATCGTTGGTTACAAAAGTTCGATTCTTTATTAGTATATCATCTCCGACAACTAGTTTATAAAAAACAAGTTCCAATCGAGTGGTTACAGAAGCTCAATTCTTGACCAGGCAAATAATCATAAGTATACACCCAAATAGATCACAACATCATTTGTTCAAAAACTAAAAACCCCCATATATTGTTGAAGAATGTATAAATCTCATTGATCTTGAATCAGATTACTAGAATTTGGTTTCAAAACGCAGAGTCGGAATTAATGTATCAGGATCAAAGGGAACGAGTGATCAGCGGGTATCAGTGAAGCTCATGTGCAGAGTGCACATGCTTAATGCCCACAAAGAGTCTAATTATCAGCTAGGTCATATATGGCTTAGATAAACTATAGCAGCTTAACGACTGACTAACGAGTATCAGTTAATACCAAAAAGACTCTAGGAGACTAAGACAAGTGCTTTAATGGCTTCACTTTGCTAGAACAGATATTAAAATTATTGAACTCAAAAACATCTTAGTTCAGCTCATCGTCTGTGTCACTAATTTTTTACATTCTTCCTTTTCTTTGTTGCTTTCTTTCTGTGACAGTTAGTAGTGATGTATCTCCATGATTTCCAACAAGATTATTGGCTTAATAATCATATCACTACTGGAATTAATATATAAATTTTTCACAAAAGATACCTGCTTGATCAAACCAACAGCAGTTGTTCCGCTGCAGAAACAGTCGATGGACGGATGGTTCTTCAGTTCCTTGTCAATTAACTTGAAAGATTTCAGTAAAGACTTTTTAAGTGGTAAATACTTCTCCGGGATTGTCTCTTTCTCCTCATTATCCGATTGTTCACACCAATACTCTTCTAACAGCTCCTCTTCCGGTATGCTTCCATCGGCATTCATGTTCTCATTATCACAACTCTGATCGCTGTTCGTGCTATTCATCCATTGAGTAGATAAGAGAACAGGAAGCGAATCCCGAACTCTCCTAGCTACCATATGACCGTAAGGACCATGGCCGTCGAATACTCCACAGAAGACTGCATCACTGTTTGAGCTAAATTTCTGATGAACAAACATTCCAACATTCTCATGATGACAAACTAATTCAAAAGACATGTAAATTGCTGATCATCTGATCAGGGACAGACCCAAGGGGTTTTTTGTGGTGGCACGTGCCACCTTTCTTTCCTCCGTTGTAGTATAAAATTTTGTAGGGCAGTGAAAAGTGTCACTGTATCAATTTATTATATGTCACCGTATATTTTTTGAAACTACAATGACAACCCAAATTTCCTTGATAGAGTTGGTTTTTTATTCCATCTGAGACCCGAGTTTGAACCCGGTTAATGTAATTTTCTTAGTTTTTAGCTTTTAATTTTAGATTTATTATGTTTTTGAAAAGAGTTGCAATAAAAGACTCCAACAAAGGACATCACAAATAAAAAGCAATGAACAATATTTGAAAAATGGTGCCACCTTGTCCGTCCCTGCATCTGATTGCATCAGAGCATGAAAATGAGACAAAACTTGAAAGAATTTTGAATTGGGTATCCATTAAGCAAAAAAAAAAAAAAAACATGTTTTTATGCTAATGATCCATGTTTCTAAATTGTTATCAATATGATGGGTGGTGTTAATTGTAAATTGTTATCAATATGATGGGTGGTGTTAATTGTAAATTGTTATCAATATGATGGGTGGTGTTAATTGTAAATTGTTATGAATGAGGAACCCAGAAACGGACACAAATTTCCTTAAACTAAAACCCAAACCCTAATTGATAACATAAACCTTATATCCAGATTTGAATGATGATTATACGAATAAAGACAAACCTCCCAAACGATCATGGCGTCTTGATTGATTCCTTTCTTGCCCTGCTGTGTATGTAAAGTGGCGATGGTGGAGGAGGCATTAGCGACAAGCCTACCAGGAATCTGGTGGAGCAGATTGTCGTCGGCCCTGGTGGCAAAGGTGAAGTTAAAATCGATGGGCGTACGATTAAGCTTAGTAGGGCGGTTGGAGGTCCGCCATCGACGATCTTGATGTTGTTTATCTGTCCGGGAGTGGGCTGTTGTTGAATAACAAGCACCCATTTAACAGAGGAACCGAAAGATGAAGTATTTTTTGTTGAAAAATACAAGATGGTGTATATAAAGAAAGGGTTTGAAGAAGAGTTAGATTTACAGCTAACGGCCAAAATGACAACTTTTTCCAGCCTTCGATAATCAATAGATTCAATACAGATCAACAACCAGAGAGAGAGAGAGAGAGAGAGAGAGAGGAGCGTCTAGGACCAACTTCCCTTTTCTTTTCTTTATAAACCTTTCAAAGATACATTGTTACAATAAGAGAGGGGGTTAATAACAAAATTTATGAAAGTAGGTTTTTATTTTATATATTTAATTGATATATAAAAGTTTAGAGTAAATTACAGTACTTTGTTCGTGTGATTTGTCATGAGAACTTTATAATTTGTATTTCTCTTTGGTTTGGGTCTAACGGTCGTTTGAGGCCACTATTAAGCAGGAATACAAGTTGTTAAGACACTAAAACTATTCTAAACAACCTCCTCCCCCAAACTTAACATCCCTTCCTCTTCATAATCTCCTGCATCTCGCTTGCAACTCCTCCATCCCTACCACCTTCTTCGCCTCTACTTTTTGCACCTTTCCTTTTTTTTTGGATTTTCTTTTTTCAAAAACCATTAGAGTGAAACATTCCGATAAAAGCAGAGACAAATTCCCCCACCCTCTTTTACTTTTTTTGTTCTCTAGTCTCTAGCTTGTGTTTCTAATGAAATGCGTAATGGGTGTCATAAAGCTCCTATTCACTCCATCTTGTTTCCTTTAAAAAGAAAAGGAAGTTCCAGTTTCCACCTTATTGGGTTGTGTTATTGAAATTGAATGAAGGAAGCATGGGGGCCATTTTTGTATTTTCCTCAAAAAGTGAAAATTGAAAGTCACATCCATGTGTCAAATCTTAAGGATTGAGTGGATATTTGTCATATGTTACTTGTTTTGATTTGATTTAAGCATATAACCTCCTCAATATATTATGTACGAGGTATTAAGAATGATTTTATTTATATTATTAAAAAAAACAGTAACTGTTGGTGGGCGGTTTGGGATCCAAGGTGTGGCCTCAATTTCCAAATCCTTTCGAGTTTGCTCGTTTTCTATACATACATAAAAGTTGAATACCACATCTTCTAAGTGTATTTTGTTTTACTTATGTTCCAAACTAACCCTAATTTTAAAATAGATGGTTCATGATCGCATATTTAATACACATTACTCTATTGATTCTAATAAATTTTATTTTTTCTTATATATATATATATTAGTTTTAGATTTTGTTATTTTATATATATCA